GCGGTGGGGCCCCCCCTCTCCCCATGCCGGGTACCATCCCCGCAGCATCCCAGCACACGCGCCCGTGTCCGAAGCGGTGCGCAGAGCGGCGGTCGCCCCCTCGCACCCCGCATCCTCCGGCGCCGGGGGAGCGCAGGCTGCCCTGCTGCACCCCGTGTCCGAGGCGAGGGGCGGGGGGGCTGCCGGCACATTAATGCTCAGAGCTGCGCCCTTCCGCTCCCGTCGCCTGCGCTGCCCCATCAGCAGTAACAGTCTGATTAATTCGCTTCCAGCAGGGAGCTGATGGGGCCAATGATGGAGCCGCTGCATCAGGCGCGCTGAAATTGATAGTTTTTCACAGTTACAAATGAGGAGCCTCCTCAGCTGCAAATGGCGCCCGCACAGTCGGACTCCGGTAATGATCATAAAGAGGCTCTCTTTAAACTGCGAAAGCCCCTGGGACCGAGCGGGGGGGCGGCTGCCGCGCTAATGAGAACTACAAGGGGCGAGCAGGCATGGAAATGGCTCCTCCACTCTTGATGTGCATTTAACTGCTTTTTTAGTGCGGCGGCAGAGCCAGGAACGAAGGAGTGATGAATGCAGCACAAAAGCATTTATTTTCCAATTCGGCAAAGTGGCTACGTTGGGAAATGTATGAATTATTTTAATTCACTCAACTGTCCTGAAACATCACAGAGAGCGAGGGAGCGTGGGGGGAGGGGGCGGGCCGCGCTCAGTGTGTGCTCCAGAGACGGGAATTACTCCTATTCGTTCAACTGCCCCAAAATCTGGGAGCTGGGGGTGCCAACGAGGAGCAGAGGTGGGGGAAAGCAACGGTTACTCCTTGCAGGGCGAGCGGAGAGTGGGGCTGGCGGAGCAGCGAGGTCAGAACAGTCCTGCCGCGGAGCAGCATCCCTTGGCCGCGGGGAGACGGCTTCGCCGTGCCTGGCAGGAGAGCTTCTCTCCCCGGTTTGGATGCTGCCAGCGGACCCTCACGAAGGCGGACAGTCCCAACAAGCCCCCAAAGGCTGTGTCCGACACCCTGAGCAAACTCTGGGCTCACAGGGCAGAGCTCAGGGCTGCCCCATCCCCAAAATAAACCTCCCCCCGTGCTGCAGCGGGGTCAGAAGTGCCACTTACAGGGGTTGGGGCAGCTGCCGGGAATAGCCACAGCCTCGTTCCACTGGTCCGCGCTGGAGACGGAGTAGGAGCGCTGGTGCATGCCGTCTGGCTTTGAGCTGAAGCCCACCAGGTTGATGCCGCTGATGGAGCGCTCCGAGTGCAGGGAGGTGCTGCTGGTCGAGTGGGGAGCACCTGCAAGAGAGACAGGAATTCAGCACAGAACGACGGCTGCTCGGCAGCACGGTGCAAGAAGGGAAAGCTGTCCTGTACCTGATGTGACATGCCCCCGGCCGGCCCTGCACGAGGACAGGCTCTGCCTGGCTCTCCTCTCCCGGGGGTGCCAGCGCATGACCCCCCAAAGGTGCCGAGAGAGGAGCACTGCCCAGCACGCAGCACTTCACAGAGGGACACCCAGCTCGACGGTTCCAGCGCAGCACCCGCGGGTGCGGAGCCGGGCATCCTGGCACGCAGCTCCCCCCTCCCGCCACAGCCTGCAGCTGGAGTTCACGGTCTGTCACAGTCCTCACTACGGCCCCAGGCACCTGGACAAACACAAACCCACCCCACAGCCGGTGGGGCTGTCATCACCCCTTCACACCTTGTGTGTCCCTGGCACGGAACACAACTGTGCTGGAGGCACTAGGAGTGAATACAAAATCGCATGGAGGACGTCAAAGGGACAAGCGGGGGAACAGATGTCTGTAAGGTGGGGATGGTGGGTGGAAAAGCCTCTTCCCACTAACTGGAAACTCCTTGAGCTGAGCCCAGACCTTAAACCCCCAGGAAAGGAGTGGCTTTGGGACTAGGGGCCGTCGTAGAAGACAAGATCACTCTGAGATTCAAAATGGGTCAAGTGTTTCTGGATTACAAGAATATCCAAAATTTCCAGAATACTAAACAGCGCGGCTCTGACAGGGAGCAAAAATCGTGCTGTGCAAGGCTGCAGGCAATCTGTTAAGGGGGATGACGCTGCCCTAGAGGGATTAGCCCACACCTGCCCACTACGAGCGCTTTCCCGTGCCTTCCTTTAGGGCATTCAGCTCCAGCCACCCTTGCGCAAGTGCTCTGGGAGCTTGGGGGTGAGACGGGTCCCTTTCCCTGCTCTGACGCTGCCTCCCCTCCTTCCACGCCTGGAGGCGCAGCCGCTGAGCTGGGGCTCCCCCGCCAGCCCTTCTGCCCACAGCTGGTGATCCGCACATCCACAGGCCG